TAAGGTTGCCACCAGCAGGTACACAGAATCTACAATAAGAACAGTAAGAATTGTTGGGGGCCTACTATGTGCCTCACTCCAAACATGGCACACGGTATCAGTTCATCCCCTATGTTGACTCACTCTTATTTCATTTGTTTAAACACATGCTATTTTGTTAATGTTTATTTTTGAGAGAGCGCGCGCGCGCGCGCGTATACACACACACACACACACACACACACACACACACACACGGGGGAGGGGCAAAGGGAGGGGCGGGGGGACAGAGGATCCGAAGCCGGCCCTGTGCTGTCAGCTGCGAGCCCAGTCATGACCTGAGCCGAAGTCAGATCCTCAACCGCTAAGCCCCCCCTAGGCACCCCCACTAACTTATTTTATTGATAAACGGAGACTCAGCCAGGTTAAGGGACTTGCCTCAAGTCACGCAGCCAGAAGGTAATGGCACCGGCACTGGAAAGCCAGACTTGTGATTCCCGATGTCTGTCTTCTCACGACACCAAGACCAGGAAGTGAGTGGGCTTAAAGCTGCGAGATGTGGCCAAGCCCCACAGCGATTAAAAGCTGGATGTAAGGTCTAGACACACTTGGTTCAAATACCAAGTCGGCCACTTACGGCCGCAGGGAACCTGGCCAGAGGCGTTAGCCTCCGAGAGCCCTGCTAATATTTCTCAAGGTCAGGAAACATACTTGCTTCAGAGAGCTGCTGTAGAAAACACAGGCGGTAACGTTCACAATCAAGGCCCTTGGCGGCAGTGCCTGGCACCCAGTGTGACTCAGGAACAGGAGCTGAAACTATCGCCACGGGCTCTAGCCCTCCACCTCTGCCATACCTACGTGCTCTCTTCCTCTGTTGTTCCTCGTTTCTCTGTCCTTTACTAGAAATCACCCTCTCCTGGATACTCCTCATAGAATGAGTCACGGCGCAAACGTACAGAGTATTTACCACGTGCCCAAAACTGTGCTAAGCACTTCACATGCTCAATTTCACTTGGTACGACCATCAGCCTCGTCTCCCAGAAGCCCACCGAGCCAACGTCGCCGGGGCTGGCCTCAGGAAGCTGTGCTCCCCGCACATACCCAACTCCCAGGGGATTCGAATCGACTAGAATTCGTGACCTCTGCTCTAGAAATGGATCTTCCCTGGCCACCAGATCTAGTGCAGAACCCCTGCTTTGTTTCCTTCCTGATCCTCACCCCAACCTGTAATTATATCTTTTTCTTATTATCTTATTTTTCTTACTTCTTGCCTGCCTCTCCCACTAGAATGTCGCAGCCAGGAGGGCGGGGGCAGCCATGTGTCGTCACAGCTGTAGGGCACAGCACATAGGACAGTGCCTGGGGCTCCACAAGTATGGGTTGAATGAACTGAGGAGTAACTATTCTTTGGGGTTTTTTGATCCATTTATTACAGGTCCCCCCCC